TTTGAAAAGATACATTTGGAGAGACCTGAGCAGCATGTGAAGTAATGCCTCTTATTTTATGCCATGGAAACTGCAACAGATGCAATGTGAAAAATAATGCTATTTTATTAAAGCAAATTCTCTGCTACAAGACATTGTTCTTCACCACAGTCACCAGTGTTAGCTCTGCATTTTCACCAGTGACAAACTAGAGTCTGCACGTTGCACCTGTAAAAAACTGCACCAGCAGAGGCAACCTGCTGTTTCATAGCTGCTGTGATGGTGCCATTACTAGGAAAACATTGCCCATGTATTCTATCATTCATCAGTTCATAGAGATAGAAGTAAGAAGGCGGACTATATAGTGGGCATGGTAGGACAGTCCAGCCAAGGCTGGCACTGTGCTCCACAGTCTTCAAAAGCCTGCATATCACACTTGTAAAAGCCTGAACAAGCAGAGCTGACCTACCGTCACTGTTACCACTGCTGAAACATTATCTACCACTGCACTGTGCTCACATCCACTGGTCACTCTCCATAAACATTCACTAGTGTCAATGAAGGCCAAAGGATGCCATTTTTTCCACACTTTTGCTTCATCTGCAACTGTCAGGTGCCACTGTGTCAGATTGCCCTTCTGCTGTCATCTGTCACACTGCAACAGCATGTAATGGAATACTGGCAGGAATGCTCAACCCCTTGCACAGTACCATCAACATCCACATCTGGTGTTGTGTGCCAACAGAATAAAATAGGAGGCATTGCTTTTGGAGCAGCCCTCATACAGATCAATTACAGCTTATTAAGAGTAAAACCATTTAAAATTAACACTGCTTGTTTTTGAAGGGTTTCAGTCTTCTCCACCTTTATACATTTTCAGCTATAGTTGAAAGTTCTTCCCCTAACATTAGGATTTTTCTTACACTCAGTAAAGCAAAGGAGTAAGCAGCTGTAAGCAATTTATTGACCTAATTGCAAGTCCAGTGTTGTTACATTCAGTTTTACAGAGCCCTATATTTCTGACCCATATAACGTAAGAGATGATAGTTTTCATTAAGGTTCCCAGAGAGTTCTAGTTAATACAACTGCTTATTTGAGACTATTTTATTTTAGTTTGTCTTGTTTTTAAAAGAGCTTCAATTCCTCATTTCTATTTCTGCCCCAATTCATAAGAGAACTAAATTTGAGGTCTTCATACAGGATTAACCTCTGTCAGGCAGTTCTAAACACAATACAGCTACAAAAAATAGTAAATGACTCAAAGAGAAAATACTGTAACAAACAAAAAGTCATATGCTCAAGAGAATGTATTAAGGAAATTCTCATAGAGGCAGTTTGTTTTTGTCACTCTTCAGAAAGTTTCCAAAAACTAGCATTCACTAAGTGGATGTATTCTCTTTAAAAATTCCATGCCAAATGCTCTAAATTAGCATAAGTAATAATCCCATTGCAACAAACAGTGAGTGGAACAAGAAAAAAGGAGCACCTACATAGTACACATCTCAATTCAAACTCCATTTTCTTATAGGCTCAAAGCATGCTCCCATAGCAATTAATTCAACAGACAAAGGAATCTGAAGACAACATGGGTGCCTACAGCAATTAGGACCAACACAGCCAGTAGTGTGAAATTGCAGTGAGTTGAAGTCAGTCTGCATAGTGAAATACCTTCTGTACCATCATGTGAGGTGCTGGCACTGCAGAGAATACACAGTTTAGGTCAGAATACAGTTGTAGGATGCTCAGGCAGTTAGAAGTTACTCAGGAGAGATGTAGCCTTTCCCCCAAGTCAGTTAATTATGTCTCTGTCTCAAAAACCAGCCCTCTAACCCAGAACAAGGTGTTTGCTCACTGCTACTATTGTGTTTAGGCCAAGATGGCAGGCTCAATAGGCCTGCAGAAGATAAAATCGTGTAGCAGGTCTCCTATAATACAAAAACAATTAGTATATTTCATGCATGCAGTTCTGGAAAGCTAGACAGCAAAAGAGAACAATCACCAATGAAAGCCCTGTATTTCCAGATAGCATTGCTTGTAGCTGCACTAGTTACTGTGTAACAAGAAAGATATTCAGAGAATTCTGGACTGCTATTCTTCCACATCTGCAAAAGGGAAATACTTTTCCCACAGCACGCAGGTAGCGCAGACAGGTAGGTCTCAGAATGTAGCCTTGGTATCTTCAGGTAGACGACGAAGAGGAAGGCTCTGTCAGACTAAAGTTACATCTAAACATATACACAGAACATGATTTTTAGATGGAGGAATTTTCTAAGTACTTAGGGCTTGGGAAATCATCTCAAAGGTATGATAATAAAAGGGAACTGGGGAAGAAGTGTCTTTTTTTGCATGGATTCAGCCATGAAAGTTAATATATTAAGAGTACATTTCTTATGGAGAGAGAATGGATGAGTTCATCAGCAACAGGGAAATAAGATACTGCAGAAAAAGGTTCTCCACAAAAGATGAAAAAAGGAGAGAAAAATGTCTCAGTATAATATAATGAACATATCAATCAACACAGAAAAGATAACAGTGAGAGAGCAGGAAAAAAAAGAAAGAAAAATGAAATTAGAGACACCAGTGGGAATAAAAATGTCTGAAGAGACAAATACCTCTGATGCTTATTTTCCCTATTATTCTTCTATTTATGTGTTTGGCAGAATGCACGAAAAGCTCATTCAGCATCAAGATGTACATACTGGGGAGAGGTGTGGAGGGTTTGGGAAATGGCATCTCAGTGCGTCCTTGGAGACATAAGAAGCGTTGGTGGGCAGAAATCTTAAAATGTTGTCCTTGTAAAAAGCAAAAATAAGCCTTCAACATACACACAAAAAAATCCAAACCATGTAATTGCTGTTGAAACTATAACAGCAATGTTTCAATTATTCTCAGAGGGAACCCGAATATCAGACTAACGCTGAACTGTAGGCAGCCTTCAGAATTCGACAATATCCTTGTGGGGATCCATTACAGTGATATTATTGTGCATCGTGTGATCTGTACATCCTCATTCTTCATTTAAAAAATACATAGCAATGCTACCAATAGCAAATGTGAGTGATCATTAACTGAAGTTATTTAGAATTTCCAGCAAGAGTTCTCATTATATCCACTGGAAACTGGCGAACTGCTTTAAATGGGCAGCAGAGGTATTGCCTCAATGAGTTCCTCTGTAACCTAGTTTCTGTGATGGGAACTGTGTGCCAGTCACAGTTTTCTGAAGGTATCCATCCCAAGAACAATAACATTTCTTAACAAGATTTACTCATCTGACTTTGCAGTTGCACTTCACCCTAGCCAAGGAAAGTATCAAACCCAGCCATTTTATGTGTCAAAGCAGCAGCTTCAGAACAAAAATTAGATGAAGATTTATGAGCTCTTGCTAATTCTACAGTGCATCACTGCACACAAACAAAATTGTTCATATAAAAATCAAGATTCCCTCTGAACTGCACTGCAGCTTAAAAAGGCTTTACAAAATCCTCTACAAAAAAGTATCAAACATGAACACAGACAAACAGTATCAGGTTTTTTTTTCAGCATCTTATGAATATCCTTCGACACCTATCTATTGCTCAGCAATATGAGAAAACAGCTTGGAAATTCCTCAAACTCAATACAGACATCAGCGTTGCTCAGGTGATGATCAGATAAGCCTGGTGCATCTCACAAAGCAAACCAACAACTTGCAAGGGTCACTGTGTGAATAAATTAGACATGACAAATTCCTCCACCACTCTCCTGTACTTCTATTTCCTACAATTAATGACAAATCCGATAAAAAGTAGAGTGGTTTTGAGGCAAAAAAAAAAAAATTCTATTCCAGTCAAAGCAAAAAGGTGCATTTTTAACCTCACAAAAATGATTAATTTTGTATCACAAGCTTAATTAAAGTAGGTGCCAAATAGGATCCATTTTTGTGAAGAAATCCAGAGGAATGATAGTCACAATACACAGTATATAATGACACACAGGGACATAGCTTCTACTGGGGATGTCTCAGACATCAGGTGATTTGCTTGATCAAAGCCTTAAAATTAATAACTGCATTCAAGAGAGATCTTTGTCTTAAAAAGAACTCCTCAATTTATTCAAGTTGAAGTAATTGTAACAAGAAAGGAGAACTCTCTAATATGCTTAAGTGAAAACTCACAGAAGACTAACTTTCTCCTCTTGAGAGCACTTTAAAAAAGATGTTTAATTATTACTGAAGCTCAAGAGAAGTACTTGCAATCTGATGAAAACGCTACTGTGCATACCCTTCACACCTTCCTTCAACTTCGCAGCAGTGGCAGAGTCAATAACTGTACATTTAGTATTTAAAAGTATTGCTGCCTAAAATTCCATACCAGTTTTATATAATAAAGACTTAGGGCTACAGTCCAGATAAATTACCACAGTCTCTCATTTAACTTTCCCTCCCAAGATGATAGTAGAAACAAATGCCTTTTTGGCACTGTTGCTTGAGCAGGTATGCTGCAGTGAGACAGACAAAAACACAGAAGACACTATTAAAAATAATGGTGTCCTGTTGCACGTGGATACAGCACAACTAAGCCTCAACCCCAGATCCACAGCAACAGGTGACCGGGATTCCTTGGTGATTCTCCACTTTTCACTACAATTACCACTACACAAAAGAGTAAAAGGCAAACAGGGTGAAAAAAAAAACAAAAAACACCTCTAGTTAGATATTAGTATTAGCCACTGTCCACTTCTGCTTATTTCCACTTGATAACGTGGATATCACAGAACCTTCAAGTATCAAGAACCTGTTGTGACACAAGTGCTCTCCAAGTTCTGCACAACACAGAACAGTAAGCGTGTAAACATCTGAATGAAACATCACTGAAAACCACAAATAAATTATTGTTCAGTAGTGCCTCTATGCCTCAAGATACTGAAAGAGCTACATAGCAATGAGATCAATATGATGGGAAAGGCAGTTCAACAAAGGCATGATAATGACAGGACCAGCAAAATAGAAAGATACAATAAAGGAAGGGAATAAGATTGCTCACCTCTATCAGAAGATTCTAGGTTTGCAGGGGAAAGCTTCACCAAGGAGGAATCTCCAGAAAGAGATCCTTCCCCAGTGGCAATCAGCCCTTAAATGGCTCCCACCCCTTCCAGTCACACAGCTGAATTGCCTTCAGCTGTGCTCCCAGGGCTCACCAGGTCCTTTCCCCAGGTGCTCAATCAGGGCTTCAGGCCATGACTCAATAGTTACCATACAAGCTACTTATTGAATTACACATCTGTAGCAGAAGAAAGAACGGAAGGAATGCAAGAATTGAATGTAGACAGTGTGCCCTATATAGGAGCCCATTTAATTTTGGATTGTTGCCCTTCCCTCACAATAAATAAATAAAAAGTAAAGAAATAAATGAATTAGAAGCTTTGGTTTCTTCCCCTGCAGAAGAGGTAACAGGTTACAGCTGCCAACTGTAGGTGGGCAGGCAGAGGGTAAAGACGGAAACACAAGGTAAATTATTTCATTATCTGATATCTAAGTAGCACTGCAAATAATCTGCATGCCTTGTCTCAAAGCTACTAATTTCTCTCACAAGACGAAGAAATAAGCATTCAGCTCTGAATCCATCCAAACACCTGTCTTCACTTGAAAATCCTGAAGGGAAAGATCTGGAATCAACAGAATTAATAGCCTTCTTCTGAGTCCTGCCTCGTTCCTCTGAGTGCTGGAAACAAAACACAAGGCCACTTTAATCCAAACTTGTTTTTTAGATCCTTTGGTTCTTATTTCATGGTTGAGTGCACAGTTTAAAATACTGATCATCAGCTTTCACAAAGATTTATAGAACTGCTTGCTCTTTGTCTGATTTTTTATTTATTTTTTACTTCTTCATTAAAACTTCATACTTCCAGCTATGCCATCACTGAATTATATTTGCTTTCTGTGGGGAGAAAACATCATGGCTAATAGTGGCAGTTCTGGCAATGGGTGCTACCTTGGTTATAAGCCGCCATGGAAATGATGCTGCAAAGAGAAATGCACAGAGGTGTTGGCTGTTTTGAGTAAGCATGCAATGCCTGGTAGCCTCAGGCCTCGCATCCTGTTCTTCAGGATAATTGTATTAACTTGTTACCAGCACTCATTCCAGTTCAGTGCTTCTGAAATTACGTTTGGAGGTTACCAGAATCCTACTAGGAATACAGGCAATGCCTCTGGTTTGCATAAAACTCCTTCCCTATTTAAAGGTGTTTATTCAAGGGAGTTCCCTTCAGAATATAACAAACACATGTTTCTGTAGAAATAAATTATCTACTGATTTCATCATCCAAACTGCTACACCCAAATAGGCGGTTATATGTACTCTCAATACAGATGGATTTCTATTTATAGAGCATTTATTTGTCTGAGATGCATTTGAATATAAATTGCAGTATCTAATGCCAAGTTTTATAACATGACATTCACAATCCATTAAGTATTTTACTACACGTTGTACAAGGGATAAACTCTCATTCCTCATTTATAGCTAAATATTATAGTTAATAAGGAATGATGAAACTACACTAAAGACGGATTGCTTTTTGGTTTATGTGGAGGTTTACCACGTATATGGATGCTTCAAGCTTAGTTACAATCCTATTTTAATGTTTTATCATAATAAAAGACATGATCTAAGTGTTGCAACGTACATAAAAATTAAGAAAAACACTACTAAAACTATATTAGGTTTTCATATTGAGGAGGGAACACAGACTTAGTATACTCTCAGCTGTTTTCTAAATTGAAATAAATATTTGCTCATTTAGAAGCCTTTACCAGGTGCGTCATCACAGTGTTTCAAAAAATATTTCACCTTGTTTGAAAATTGGGGCAGAGGGGAGGAAGAAACACAACATAATTTGTTCCCCACATCCTTTTAAAACTTTCTGAGGTCATCCCTCAGCTCAGGTGCTTCTTTTCCCACACTTGCTGATTGTCAATGATTGGAATCAGCAGGGAAGTGCAGACTTGCCTCTTTTTCTTAACTTCCTTCTCACAATTTCAAATTCCTATTAGAGGCAGGAAAAAAATCATATAGATGGGAGAAACATTTTCTTAAGTTCTGTTGTTACTGTCCTTAAGAGGTGCCACCTCCATACTTGTTCAATTCTCATGCTTGCCAAGCAAGCAGAGAGAGAGAGACCATCTTTGTTTATGTGGGAAATATGTGGGAATATATGGTGGGAAAAGGTTGATTTTAAAATATAATTAAATTCTAAAGTATCCAGAGCCGATTAACACTTTCCAGAAAGTACTGCAATGAGTTTTGATGGTTCTTTCTCTCTTCACCAAAACCCGGGTAAATGAGAGAAGGTGAGACAGAGAAGAATATTTTTTGATTCTCTGTAGTTTAGATCTGATTCATTACTTCCTTCTGCCACATAGTTCTGGATTATATGGTCTGCGTACAGCCCTTTCTGAAGGCTTCCAAATTCACCAGCCTTCAGTCAATCCCCGCTCAAGTGCAGTTATTTCAAACACCACGTACCTGAATAAAATCTCAAGCAAAGCTTATTTGAACAAGTCTTTGTAAAAGTCTCTGATGTTAAATTAATGTCTCATGTATAATTACTGGTTGCTTACGTGTAGAAAATGGGAAATAAACAACTTTTTATATTACTTATTGGTCTTCCCATTTTCTGTCACTGTAATACTTAACATTTCTCACCAGCAAAGGAGGCTTGAAGGCAACATTCCTGAGAAAAAATTATTTCACTCCATATCACAAACAGATGCAGAAGTTGCTCAAATTAAACACAACTGCTGTGTCAAACCAGTAAGGAAATGCCGATCTCTGCAGCAGCAGTTTAGAACTAATGCACAGAAAGCTATGACTGTTTACTTAAGAGATTAAAGATAAAAATACTCTGAAAGATCACATGAGATAGAAAACATAGAACTTCAAGTATTCTGATTTTAAGAATCTTTAAATTCATAAAGCAATTTTCCTGGAGAAAACTATTTCAAGATCTATTTCCAATGAAAAAAGAAGTTTATGAAATAGAAATACTGTGAGTGAGATTGCATACCCAGTAATTTCTTGCTGTTTTCTTTTAAAGCATGACTTCTTTTTATTACATCAAGGGCAACAAACAAAAGCATGGGGAGGGTAAGAAAGTTACCAGCCTTCCAGTAAAATAAGAAAAAGAAGAGGAAAAACACCAAAATCCCAGGTCATAGTCATACAGAAGCCCATCCTCTAGCCCATTCCTCCATTTTACATACCAGCTTTATTTGGAATGGTGTGTACTAGTGATATTAATGCTTTTTCAACTTTGCAAATAATTTCATAAGGTAGAGAACTTTATCAAGATCATTTTCTCTTTCAACTTGTCATATACATCCTATATTTATGTATTAAGAGACAGTATTCATTTTAAGACAAAAAATATTGCTTACAAGGAGTTTGTTATATGGAAATACATCAATGCCTTTTGTAGTGGTGTTATTATGATTGTTACTTCAGTTCTCCATAGTACTCCATTAATCTTACTTTCTCTACAGTCATCTGTAGTCTCATACTTTTAGCCAACCTCACCAAACCCCATTTGTTACCCCTGTTTTTTTATTTGCTCTGGGCAGGTATTCTAGATTCCCTTTGTCTGTTCTGCTTCCTCTCTGTCACAAGATGTCCTGGACATCTTCCAATTTATTACCTCCGTTCTAAGCTCCTGAAAAACATTACAAGACTAAGCTATCCAGCCACCTGCTCACACTAATCTTTCGTGAGAGAGACCTAAAACACAACTGAATCCTTATCTGGCATGCATCTAACCAGTAGGGTGCTTCCTAAGTAATTTAGCATACAAGAAAAAAAAAAAAAAAAAAGCAATGTAAAAAGCAGAAGAACATAAAAAATAATTCTCAAAGATTCAAAAACAAACAAACAAACAAAAGGTATGAAAGGAAGCTGCTTTCCTCTCTAGGTCCAGGCAAAGTGCACCATGTTCTGGCAGTGATATGTTTTCTCCTCCTCCTACCCCTCTGGCAGTGAGTATGGTCTGCACAGTAAAGGTTGCATGAGCTGCATTATCCCAAACAGCTGCAATTTTGTTTGTGCTTGAGGCCACTGCATACACTCACAATGGCTTAATTAATCACCACCCCTGTGCCCTTCATAAAATTCATAAAATATCATGGACTACTCCTTGTTGTTTTGGTTCAGCAGTGGTTGGAAAAGGTAGTATGCAGCAAACTCACATTCATCTTGCTGATCTTGTAGTACTATACTATTTATCTTGATCAAGCTCTCTGTCATTCTCCAGGAATAAAAGGGTCAAAGCCTGGACTTCTTCCAGAAGACATCCAAAGAAGTCAGTGGTAGACTTCTGGGGGCAACATATTTATCCTTTCGTAGGCAAAAATTGCCAGAAGATTAATTACTGAAATTTACAGTGCAACTCCCACTTCATGAAGCCAATTTATTTCTTGAGCCCTGAACACATCATTTCAAGCACAGAAAAGAAAATAGATCCAAAGATGAAACCCACAGCAGCAATCCCACTTGAATGAGAGCTCAGGGAAGAACCAGACAGGAATGACTTCTCACCAAGTGGGCAGTAAACAGCTCTTAAAGATCATTCAGATATCAGAACAAACAGCACCCAGTCGAAAGCATCTTTCTCCAATAGGCCACAGTCATGTTCAGTGCTTCTTCTAACTTAAATGACAGAGAAGAAACAGTGTTATCTAGAATATCCGGGACATGAGGAAGAGGCTATGAGGTATGATAAAGCTGGAGGACTGCTATTTGCTCCCGCTCTTTCAAGCTGGGTCACAGGAGGCTGCAACTATGAAAAAAAAACAAAATATTAATTTTAAAAAAAATAATAATAATAATAAAAGACAACCTGGGAATGTTCCACGCGAAGATGTTGAAGGGATCAAGACATTACCACAGTCTCACAGAGGACCTTAACTTGAGCAGTTACTGACATTCCACAGAATAAAAAAAGCGTTGGGCCAAAAGGTTTGTTCCCTTTTCATTACATCAGGAAAGGAGGAAATTCAGCACAGATAATAAGCCCATTTATAAGACTCAATCTGGCGTTGCATAGGATTCTTCATATTTTTCACCTCTAAAGGGAAAAATCAT